TAAGCCTTCTATCATAACAGTGCCACCCGCTAAGGAAACTAAGGCCTGATGTCCACCTAATGGCCGTCAATCATAGTAAATAAAAATATTTAGTGGCTGTACAGTAATTACGGTTGTGCAGCCCTGAAATGCTGGTCTCCAGTTCTTCCTCCTAGTAATCAAACACAGTTGATGGAGAAAAGCACAAAACTTAACTATTCTTGTGCTAATATATTTGAAGCTTCCATGGGTCTGGAGCAACATTTAAAAGCCAGAAAAAGCACAATTTCATCCTTATTCACATAAATAATTGTGTTATATTAATTAAATGGGAGCAAGAACGTATGCTAGTGAAAGTAATTATCTGAAATTTGCTGGAACACAGAGGGTAAATAGCCAGCTGTCTGACTTCTCCCTTGGCATCTCAAAGGTTTCCAATTAGTATACACATTTGTTCAGAGGAAAAAGACAGCAAATCCATTCTGAGTTGAAATAGCCTATGCAATTTGTTTCATAGTGATCTAGTATGTATTTAAAGGCTAGTAATACAGATGTGTCTACACAAATTTGATCTGTACATCAGAGCCCTCCACACACTGCCGTACACACTAGGGTACAGTAGTAGGCTTTTCTTCACAGGCATATTTGCAGTGAGAGTCCTATAATTGTAATATACTTGTCGAAGTAACTACAAGAGTTGATGCTGTGTGTGAGGAGTGATAATTGTCTAACTTGAGGAGAGGCATATTTTTCCAATTTTGATCTTGTCTTTTGCAGTGGCTACACATTTGCATTTTATCAGACTACACTTGAATCATCTAGAACACGATTGGTGTTCCATAAGTAAAAGTTTATTAAAGCAAAGGAAACATTAAAATCCAAGGAAGTGTTAGTCAAGTACGTAACACATAGGAGAGTTGAAGCTTCTAACAGGACTTGAAGTAGAAGTTTTCTTTCTGTCTGGGTGAAAATCTACCATACAATGTAAGACATCTGACAAAATATTTGGAATGTTGTTGAATTCAGGAAAGAAAAGGATTTACATATCTGATACAAATCAAGGTACTAAATACAAGTTGGCTTGAAACTGGGTGGTGTTCTTTGAAATACAGAATATTTTATATTTTTTTATTTTGTGACTGTGCTATTAATGTCCTTTCTAGACGGTACCACCTGTCGCACTTCTAGCTGGAATATATATATGTTCCTTAGGCTTATGATAAAGGACTATATCTTTACTTGAAGATACCTGTGATTTTCTGTGGCTCGGTTTTATTATGGTAAGGCTATTTTTACTTATGCAGAATACACAGGGGTCATAAAAGTTTTGCTAGGTTGGCTAGTCTTGAAATCAAAACTATTGAGAGAATAATGTAGGTCTACACAAGCCAGTAGGGTCAATTTCAGCTGACAAAAGACGGTCAGTCACTAGCACTCATGCAGAGTGGATCATAGAGACTACACCTACTGTATAATTAACAGACCAAGCAGCAGAGAACCTCAGTGATTCTACCAGAAATACTCATGTTGTATTTAAATACCTCTGAAGAATCTACCTGATGGAAAGTAATTCTGTTCTTTAAGCAAGAGGTGCAGTACTTCGCAGCAAATGCTTCCATCATTCAAATATTAAGTTAATCTCATGTTTGGCTTTGTAGAAAGTTAATACAATATTAATAGATTAAGATTTAGTCTGGATTCTGAAGGTTGTATTAGACACAAACCACTACAAGTATTTTAAGCACCTAAGTAACTCTGATACTCTTACATTTTAGAATGGAAGAGTTAGATATTCTGGTTTAGATATTATTGTGTCTTCACTAGGTATTTTTTCTTCAGAGTGAATGATGGAAATTTTTGGAAATTCTGATAGAACACAAAAAACATGAATGCAAGTGGGTCGTAGGGGAGAGGAAAACAGCAGGAAAGGTTCAGAGAGAGGGTTAGACAGCTAAAGGGGCAGATATTTTACTTGAACACTGAAGTCTAGGTTTAAATCCTGGCTCCGCTGAAGTCAATGGCAAAGTTGTGGACTTCCTTTAGGCCTGCTTTTTAATGTAAATAGTGTAAAAATGATGTCCTTAATGAGCAATGACATCTTGAGAGTCCTCAGTTCAGAAGATTGAAATGCTGAGTTTTCAGCTGCAGTGAGACACTAGAGTAGGACAGAGACTCCACATGCCAGTCATCAGACAGCCTGCCTCAGAGCAGGTGACCTCAGGAATTGCAGCTACCCGGTCTGGCTTTGTATTAATGTTCATAAGGAATTAGTTGCAGACTACCTGTCCTAGTCAATATAATGAGATTAAGCTCCAACATGTTTTGGTGTTCAGACATTACTGAGACAGCTATCAGGCTCTACTTTTCAGATGTCATAAAGTTTCAACACACTGGCGTATTTTAAATCTCAAAATCCAGATGTGAGAGCAGGGGCATTAATTGAGATTATATCCTGTCACCACCTCTAGTATTGTTATGGATGCAGTCTACAGTTGGGTCACTGCACTGTTCTGCTGCTTAGGATGCAAGAGGGTCATTTACTTCTTCAATACAAAGGACTCATATGAGGTCAATTACTCCTTCAGTTAATTATTCAGGGGCAATATGAAAATAAATATTAATCTGTGTCCCACATTTGGGCTCAGGAGTCATGAGCCCACAGCGCAATTTCTGTCCCAGTTTGCCATTCATAAAACACTGGTAAAAATTAATAGTTATGTTCAACTTAGCTGAAATGTCTTATCACTAACAATCCTTAGAGTGATTACATAAAGTCCTAAAGACTTTTCTCACTGGACCTGACTAGATCATCTGTGGTCAGCACTGAGTATCTGGAGGTCAATGCTTGTTTATGGTTCAACGTTCAACCAATATCAATTGTTGACCCAATTCAGAGAAAAAGAACATCCAAAAGTTAGCAAAATATGTGTAGAGCCCAGACAGAGACAATTTCTGACCTATTTTTATATGTAGACATGTTGTTAAATCCACCTGCACAAAAATTTCCAGTTTTGTCAGGATAATTTAATTATTATTCCAGATTGCTGGTCAGACGCAACAGATATCAATCTATCTATTACCTATGCTGCTTGAGGATTATCTGAGGTCAGCTATTGAGCCACAGTTTGGTAGTGGAAGTAAATAAAGTTAAGTAAATGAAAATTTTCACGCTTAAAGACATATTCAGGTGAAATACTACCTCAGTCTTCTGCTGAGGGGAATAAAGGAGATCAAACATTGACAAGTTCTGTGATCTATGGTTCTTTGAAGTAACATGTTGATACAGATCTCCCCACAGCTATTGTAAGAAAACTCCCCTCTTCAACCATCCAGGAGCCGCCCTGGCAGTCACACTTGCTCTGCCTGAACTAGGACTGGGGCTCCTTGGCAGATAAAGTCACCACATTCACACAGTCAGACCAGGTTGCCTTACTGGCTCGAACCTAGGTTTCCCACCCATAGCAGAGTTTCCAATTTCCGAATCCTTAAAATAATTTAATCTTCGTGCAAAAACTAACAAAATAACAGTTTGAGCTGGGAGCATCCAAGGAGGGACCCCAAACAAAGGAAATCCTGGGCTTTTGTACCCTTAAAGTCTATACATGGTAAAGTCTGGGGGTTGTGAGCTCCTGCTGTCTCTGAGTATCCAGTCACGTGGCCGGCACCACAGTTCCTTTTTTGTGCAAAGGGTCAGCAGTTCATAGCCTCTTACTTCAGGTTTTGGCTCAGCCTCAGCCTTCTGCTCCCCAGAGCTCAACCTGCAGCTCACACACTGAGCTACCAGCCCTAAATTATTCCCCAACAGCTGTCAGTAAAGGGTAGCTATTGTGAGATTTAGTTTGCTCTTTGGGATTAACAGAGATCAGTTCTCATCATATCTGTATACAGAGCAGTTAGCTGCAGTCAAGTACAACTGCACTGCCTTGAACAAAGAACATGAAAATGGAAAGATTTACCTGTTTTTGTATTAAGTGATTACCTGAGATTGAGCACAGGAATTCAGGCACAGCCTGGAATTCATGCTGCCTGTTATCTTGGGAGCTGAGGCCCTCAAGCTTGCTTTTTTGTCAGCACCTGCTCATGTAGCCTCTGCTTCATGACTTGACATCAGACCTTCAACACTGTCTGGCAATTGGAGCTGCTGGCAACAAGAAATACGCTACTGGCATGAGTGAAGCCAGTACAAATTGTAGCCAGGGTCTTCTAGGAGCCCCACAGCAAGAGGTGCAGTAGACACAGGTTGAAACAAAGGAAATTACAATTAGACACATTAATAAAAAACAAGAGTGATCAGTTACTGAAACTGGCTGCTGAGAAAAATTGTGAAACCTCCTTTGTTAGAAAAAAGCAAAATTTACCTGGGAAAGGGTGTGAACACCATCTAATTGTACATGCTTTGTGCAGAGAGTGGAACTAGATGAACTTCAAATGACACATACAGACTGAGCTCATTTACTTTTATATAAACCAAGGATGGTCCTGGGTGTCATTTGCTCTCCAGAGATTGTCTGAGGTCAATGGGAATTGTAATTAGATGCACAAAGGTCATTGAAGCTCAGATGATTCCCATTGCCTGACCAGGGGTCATCTCAGGTCAACCTGAGAGACAATAATCTATTCAAGGAGACATGTAAGGTCAATCACAATCCTTATTTCCTGCCTAGCATCTAAAGTCTAGTTTCGATACTGTGAATTTCACTGGGGTAATCTGAGGTCTAACTAAGTATAAATTCAACGTGAAAATACCCCACATATTTTGTCTAGGGTCATCTGAGATTGACTTGATATGCAAACAGTTGACAGGGTATCATTTGACATCAGCTAAGTCCTTGTGTGGTGCATAGGAGTCAATTGACATGAACCTGAGATCCAGTTAGATCTCTAGAGGTAGTTTCAGGCTTTTGCAACCTGAGCTCATTTGACATCAACATGAGAACCACTTGCCTATTCAGAGGTGTTATGATCTGACTAGTGACAGATGCCTCTGCCCGAATTAGGGTTCAAATTAGAACATATGGCAGTTCAACAATACTGACTTTATTTTGTAACATTAAGTGTGTAGAGGGAAGAGAAAGGGAGAAGAAGAAAGAGAGAAAAAGAGAAAGAGAGAAAGAGAGAAAGGGAAAAGGAGAGAGATAGCACAAGCAAAAGATAGTCACTACTCGTGGATCCAGTGGCATCCCATTGGTCCTTGTTCACCCCGAGCTTCTCAGTGGTGGGGCAGCAGAACCCAGTTCATTCTTCTGTTGGTACATCTGGCGCAGAGAGAGATACTGGTTCCACAAAGTCCACTGTTGACTATCAAATCTTCTTGCCATTTATACCTTTTAGCAAACAAAGGAATTAATATTTATTGGCTACCAGTTACATAGTTCTCTTATTAATTAGGATTCTATCATCTATTGGTTTAATGATTCTCTCACTTCTCATGCTAATTAGTCTGCATGCTCAGTCTTTCTCTTCACTTAAGTCAGTAGATTTGGATCAGTGGGCCATGAGTCTGTGGTTGCCATCTCCCCCTGCCAGAATTACCTTTTACCCAGACAGAGCTGATTTCAGCACAGTTGTGAGTTGGCTTTATTAGTTTCTTCCTTATCTTGGAAGCTTTGCTAAATATCCTTGTGGACAGTAAGTTCTGCATTCCTTGTATCCACTATCAGTGATACATCCTTCTTCCCAAGCTTTGTTACCCATTCCATAGATCCTAAAACCCGGACAACATTATGACCTTTATGCAGTCCAAATTCTGGGTATCCAAAGAGGTGTATTTGGGGAGCTTTGTGGCCATTGGTGGTTGTAGATGCTGTCCCATAACTTGAGATGGTCTTTGTTTGACCAGTGATATGCATATGAGCAATTGCTTCTTGTCACACAATCACAGAGGGGAAATTTGGTTTGGATACATTAACTAGGATGTGCTAACCAGATCTTGCCTCTGCCAGGCCTGGCCTTAGCACCTACATGTCACAAATTCCTCCCTTCTGTGGCCTTAACAGTGTTTGAGACAGGCAGCTGTGTTCTGTAACTCCAAACAGAGGCCACTGAGGCCGATTATCAGTCCCCATTTCCATGTAAGGAGCCATTGGAAATCGACTTATAATACAGATAGAGGCTCTAAATATCATCTGAGATGAATATGAGATCCAAATAACTGCTTAGGGTCATTAAAGGCTAAATGAGAATCAATTAACTGGCCTGTGATCACTGAAGGTCACCATTGCTAATCGGGAAGGTCATTTGAGATCAACTTGAGGGCTAAATAACTGCTGTAGGGTCATCTGAGGTCAACCTGATGGGTCAGTTAACCTATCTGGAGTAGGGTTTATCTGGCATGATCATGAGACCCCTCTATATGCAAGGGGTTGTTTGAGGTCAACTAGGCCATTGTTTGGAGACTAAGATCATCTGAGGTCAACTTGACATACAATTACCTCCACAGAGGTCCTTTAAGGTCACCACTTTTCTCGTTTGGAGAAGGGGCAAGTATTTAAAGTCTGCTTGAGATGCAATTAAGCAGTCAGGTTTCATTTGAGGTCAACCAGAGAGACTGTCAGGGTTCATGTGAGGTCAGTGAAGCCTTTGTTCAGTGTCGAGTGGTCATTTAAGGTAAACCTGAGGTCCAATTAATTGCTTGATGTGTCATTTGAGTTCAACCTGCCCTTCATTTGGTGCCAAGGGGTCATTAGAGTTCAATCACAGACCTTGATTCCTGCCTAAGATCATCTGGGTTCAGTCTGAGATGCAACTCTCACTGCACAGTCATCTAAAGTCAACCCTCATGGTTGTGGCACGCATCAATTCAAGTAAACATGAGTTCAAATTACTTATGGGAGTCACACCAGGTCCAGTTGTCCCATGTTTGAGCCCCAAGGTTCATCTGAGGTCAACATGCTAGCAAATTAGACAAAAGGGGTCACCTGGGGACAACATGGCAGCCAATGATCTGCTTGGGGTCATCTGAGGTCAATGCTGCACTCATTTGATGCCTGGGGTCACCTTTACAGACAGTAAATTGCCCAGGGTCACACTGGTCCTTATTTTCATTCAACAGGTTATTTAAATCCAATTTAGAACCAATTAACCTGCACGTGTCATCTGAGATCAACCTTAATTCCAGTTAGCTATCCCAAATGATCACTTGGGGTTACCCTGGCCTCCTTTGATGCCCAGAGGGCACCTGAAGTCAATCCAGACCACATTTCCTTAAGGTCACTTGAGGCCAACCTTAAATCCATTTAGGAGAACAGGGGTAATTTGTGGCCATTCTAGCTGACCACTCTAAACTTCCCTTGGTCTCCTTGATCAGTTGCTGACCTGACCATTTGCTGCTCAGACATTTTCAGAAGTCACATAACACTTCAAATTTCATAGCAGGGGTCATCTGAGGAGAAGAATCTCTTCTTTCATCATCAGGTGAGACATTTACCTATTGAAACAAGGCCTCCTGGGTACATTCTACATTTTAGTAGAGCCTGGCTCATGCTACAGACCACAGAAACAAGATGACATTGGCAGTATCTCTGGGATGAGAGTTCAGTCAGGCAAAACAGCAGGAGAAAAGCTCAGAAGTCAAAGAGTGCTCTCTGTTCCCCAGCCTCCCCTCTTCTTCCTCCTCTCTCTCTCCTACTCTTTCAGTTCCTCCTCCATTCTGCCAGCTATGGGTAGGTTGGGCTGCCTGCACAGTGTCAAACCTAAATCTTACTTTTTCAATGACAACCCAAAAAATGGAAGGTTTTAGCCATCTGCCTAAATCCTTGATACAAGGAACAGACCTAAGCTTTCTTTAGTGTGATAGTTTCAGTCTAGGCCTTTCTGGAGACCAGCTTGTAACCAGGAAGGAACTAGGGAAGTGACCAAGGAAGTATTCTGTGCTATTCCTTTACGTAAACTGAGGTATAAATAAGACGGTCAGAGAGACCTCTTTCTCTTCTCTTCTGACGAGGTTTGGGAACAGTAGATTCCTGCACTGGTCTTGCTTACCTGGAGCTGAGGCCTGCAGTGACTCCTGTTGTCTGCCATGCATGAGGTGGAGAGTGCTGGGCCGGGTCTGGTTGTCCTGCTTTTTCTCAAGGGAAGTGATGAGATTTCACTTTGCTAGTTCTTTGTTCTGCTAGTTTCTGAGTTTTTGATTGTGCATATCTGTTTTGGTTTTGTGCTTTTTTTGTCCCTTTTTTTCTCCCTTCCCTTTTAGGATTGTATATAGTATTTCAACTGTATATAACAGTACTATATGTAAATACATATATATTTTAATATAGTTTGGCTAGTCTGGATTTTTTTTAATAGTTTTTTCTCTTTTACTCTTTGCTGGAGGTTTTGTCCTGGGTCTTGGGGATTTCGCAGGGAGCCAAATCGAAACTTAGACATTTAGGCAGTAAAGTCACTTCTTTCCTGCAAGACTTTTCTCTGATTTTTCTTCTTGAACTTAAGTGCTTTATCACAACTGAATATCAGCATCTAAATGGACCCAGGTTATTTTAAAACACTGGTTTATTTGTTCTGTCCCTACAAACAGAACCAGTGCCAGGCAGGTAAATGAACAGAGCATTACAGCTGTTTACACACTCCAATAACAAAGAGAAAAATAACTTTTGCTTGGTTTTAGGTTGAAATTTTTCTTCCCCAGCAATAGGTACCATAAATTAGGATGTCAAACTCTCTTCCAGAATAATTTGAGGTATGACAAATACACTAAAGAAAAGCTGAAAAGCAATAACAGGTCTTGCAAATGGTCTAGCAAAAAGGTAAGGGCTGACAACTCTGCTGTGACCACAGTTGATGGGAAGGCCCAGGACACTCCAGACAGGCTTTTATTTATCTCTGGGAACAATTTTTCAACAAAAAGAGACTGGCATCAGCATCCTAACAATGTAAAACAGATGTAAAATGTAGATGATGTAAAATAACAGATCTGACAATGAAGTTCATGGAATGCTGTTCTTTTATATCAGCTCCTTGAGATTAAAATAAAAATAATGGACTTATTTTTTGTATGTTACTTTCACCTGTTTCTCCTAGTGCTCAGAAACATATTATTTCATTCTATACCTATCAAGAAACAGAAACATTTTGAAAATGTTCTTTTATTCTTTTGAAACAGTACGAAATAGATTGACAAAACCACAACAAATACAAATCCACTTCTAGAAAATACAGATGTAATATCCCTTTTGACTTTATTATACTAACAATAAATGAATAACCTCAAAGACAACACAATTTTTAAAAAAGCCTTCCTGAGTATGAGGTTTTCAATTTCTGAAAATTTTTCATGTGTTTAAGCTATATCTCCAGTGCAGCAGATGCCAGAAACACATTTTGCTTTGAATAATCCCAAGTGAATTCCCAAGTAAGCTCTTTTAAGCTTATATTAAAATGTGAGCATATAAATACTCCAGTGGTTTTGACTTATTTTGTTTTGTTTTTTCAAAACTTTACTGCCTAATTTATCTGAACTAAGTAAACAGGTCTTTTTTTTTTCCTGAACCCACCAGAAGTATAAAATAAATTTCTGTATGTGCTTTTCAGAATCAACAAACATTGAAACTAATAATCAGAAAATCCTACAGTTTGACACACAAGTTTTCCTCTTCCTCACTGGTTGTCAAGCAGCTGCAAAAAAACCCCTGACCTCCATACCTTTCCTTCCACATACACCACAGTTATAGTGTGGGTGGGGCTTGTTGCTTTTCCCATTAAAGGTTGTTGGGAGTTTTTCATGTGTTCAGTGGGCATGGGCTCCAATCCAAGGTCACTATTTGGACACCAAAAAACAATTTAAAGAATCTACAGGATTTGTAGAAAGAAAGACACCAAAGACTCAAAAGAAATAAAATTTTTTTTCAAATTATTTTCATTATAATTTATTACTGAACTATCAATAGGGAGGGGAGGGTGGTCTTTAACCAAATACTCAAATCTACACTTTAGTGAAATGTGAATCAGCCCTTCCAAAAAATGCCAAAAGAAAGGTGAAGCGTAATTTATTAACTACCAGAGTCACTGGACTTTTTCAACTTAGTGTCTCCATGCATGGAAAAACTAGGATACAAATACTCAGTGGAAGACTTTGTAATGCCTCCTTTTCTTGTTTCATCCCCTTAATACTTCACAGTGAACAAAATTAAAGCAATCATATTTATACCTGTACTATACTGTACAGGTATAAATACTGTATACCTAAACTATACTGTAACACAGATTATTACCTTGCAAGGATCCCCTATTTCAGTGGAAGGTAATATGTACCTTGACAGATTCCTACAAGAAGGAATAAGTAATCTACACTGAGCTACATGTCGTAAGAATTCTCACAAATATTACTATGAATGCAGAAGCCACTCACTGTTAAAGGCAACAGGAGAGTTGCCAAGAAAAGATCATCTGAACTGTGGTTTGTGTATACCTTCAAAACTTAAAAAGAAAAGAAAGGTGCTCATGCCCAGTCTGGTGGAGAGTTTATTTTTTGTGTCTAGTATATATGTGTTTAGAATTTAAGGTCATGTTTGAGGAAAGTAACACTATCAGGGCAGGAGTTAAATCATCCTTGACTTTAAAGACGTATTTATGTGTCATTTAACTTAACTGAATTTAAAGGCATATTAACAGTTAGAGACTCTTTAGTGAAAGTTCTGTCTTTAAAGTATATATGTATGCATGTAAGAACATATCTCCCTGAAGTTAGATTTTAAGGTGATAACCATGGGAATCAGAACTACTACCTTATGAGCAAAGGGACCAAAATTCACCATAAGTCTACAGAGATGCAATTAAATTATCTCTTTCACAGACAAGCTAAGTATTCTGATAGATTGACTTGCTTCCAAAAAAAGGCTAAAGAAAAAAATATATTTTGCAAAATGAAAAGTATAATCTAATAGGGGAAAATGTGGAGGGTTCCACTAAAATTATCTTATAAAAAGCTATTTTCACAAAGAAGAAAAAAAGCAATAGGAATCTCTTCTGAACATTTTCAGAAACTGCAGGCATCTCAGCTAAACATAGTGTTCAATGCCATCATTAATATCACAATCGATATAAAACCTGGAAATATGTAATTTCCAAATCCCATGTATATGTAGACACTTACTAAATAAACCAAAGTAATCACAGATCATAACAAAAAGCCCCCTTACATATTAAAATTTGCTGTCAGCTGTGGTAGAAATATGATTTTGTTTCTTATTCAAGCATAAAGTTTTCTAGTGACTGACATTTGAACATTAGGTGTTTCTACTCAATAAAAAAGTACAAAGTTGCTTTAATTATACATATGATCTGTAATGAAACACCAGTTGTATCAGAAGAATTTCTGCTGAGCACTTCTTTTCAGTCTTTTTTCTACGAAAAATCATATTGCACATAGTTGATTTTTCTGCTTTCTGAACTTCAATTAAAATCAGAGGACAATAATAGAAACAGATATAGATGCTGCCAAATATAATTGCACCGTTAGATAACAGTCCTACGTAAAACCTGACATTGACAAGTTAAATACCAAATGGAACATACCATTTTTTGTGACTTCTAAAATCTTTGTTCCAATTGCAACTTTAAAACATTCAGAAGCTAAAATAATATAAAGAAAGGCAAGTCCTAAAAGTCAAATCACATTCAAGATTATTCTTTACGTTTGTATAAAGATCATAGATTTATCTACTTCATCAGCTAAGAATGAGAAATGTCAGTGATGCTTGAGGGTCCAGTAATCTGCCCCTTCATTGTTCATTTTTTTTGGTACGTGAAAAGAATTCAAGGTGAAGTTTCTACAATTTTTTTCAGTCTATCTGTTTTATCAGTGACTATTGTTTAAACAACTAATTCATTTACTCATATACTCCTGGTTTGTGTCTGCATCAAAATCAACAATTAAGAGGAATATTTCTGGAATTTCTTGGAATTTCCTTCTGTGCCCAAGGAACAGTGAGCATAGGGCTGAGTGGGCTCTGATTTTAAAATTAAATTATTTGCACATGTGTATGCATTCATTTATTTACTAAAGAGTAGAGAGAGTAACAACAAATTACTCCCCCTTGGAAATAAACTTGTCAAAGTCATTTTTCTAAGAAAGCAGAGTTTGGAACCATAATCCACGTTTAAAAACTAAAGGCACTGATGGGACAGTTCATCTACCTAGGGGGTGACCTGCTCCTTGCAATTCATTGACCTGTACAAGAAAGACCAGCAATAAAGCATGTAAGGGGAGTAAATAAAGTTAATTTTTTTATTCCTTGCCTATAGTGTCCAGCAAGGGCAGATAGATGCTCCACTCAGACATCTGCATTTTGTGCTTTTGGACTGCCCCTTGGCAGTGATAATGGGCAGGTTTTCAAGCATGCAAACACATGGGCTCTCCTCAGAGCCACTGCTTCATAGTCGCGTGTCATACTCCAAAGTTTCATCTGCATTGTCAGTTCCTCTGGTGCTTGTTTCCATTTCTGTTTCGAAGGCTGGACCGTCCGTTTCCAATGTGTAGGCACTTCTTCTCAAATCTATGGCAAGAAAATAAATTCCACAATGCAGCCAAGAAAACATTTGAAAACTACATACTCCCTGAGCAGTGTCCAACCCGATAACTGATCTGTTTGCTGTTTTCAGGAGGAAGAAAATCTGCAGCAAGGCAAATCAGAACCAGGGACATGAGAGTCCTTGGAGGACTTAATGGTGTGAGCGGATAAGAATGAACCTTCCCTGACTGTATTCATTCAGCTGATTTTCCACTCTATTATTTCTAGCTGCCACAGATACAAATAATCAAAACCAATAACACTGCAGTTTCTGTTTCAGAATCAAACAGCAATTACTACTCCATATAGGCACTAAAAGGAAAGAGCTTTCCCTATAGAAAAAAATTAGTGCCTGGAAAGTCACCCAGAAAGCAATCTATTTTGGCTTTGAGTCTTTAAAATCTG